AGTTGTTACTTTTGACAATGACTAACTCAAATTGTCCTTGGTCTTATGACCTGAGTAATTAAAAAATATATGCAGACACTCCTGACAGACAACTTTATGTAGCTTGTGAACTCAAACTGTCATTCTTACTAGCATTCTTTTTTCAAACAGTATCATTAATTTCAGTATACATGTTAAGTAAGTAACGGCTGAGAATCGGGAAAATACATGCCAGCACAGACTCTGGTTCCATAAAAAATGTGTTCAATCCAATGATTTAAGTCTTAGTTTGTTTTAAAGAACGTCTCTTCTGAATAAAACAACGTAATTGAATCTGTTAGAATAATGATGTCAGAGGAGAAAAGTAGTCACCAAGGCTGTTGAATGAGAGCAAAAATCATCCACTCTATTTTAAGCACACAGAAGATGGATGATGGCACAGAGTACAACCTAAGTTATAAGACTATTCTGAATTTTACTGTATTTGTGTTTTGGAGTCCCTTTCACAGCACAGTAAATATGAATTTCTTATAAATTATCTTAAGACATTATGCAACATGTTACAAAAACAAAGGTTTTGTAGTGAGTTTGCCAAGAGTCTGTATATGTAGGCTGTGTTATTTCGTGTATGACTTCACTACTTAGTTTCTCTGGGTTTTGTTTTCTTCTTCTGTATCATGGTACAATAAGTAAGTGATTAAAATGCTTCACACAGGTTTCAGAACGTAGTATGTGTTCAATTAAAGTCCCTACTATTTTACTGTTATTACTCAAGATTCAAATAAAACTATAATTTTCCTCAAATAAAACAAAGTTGTTATCAGGGGTTGGTATGAAGTAGAGTTCATTTATAAAACTCTCTCTTAAACCAGTGTTAAATAAAACTGAATCCTAACTGGAACTAATTGCCTTAGAGTTGACTTTGTTTCATGCAGCCCAAGTAGGTTGGAGTAGAACCATGCCTCACAGAGTTTTCATGGCTGATTTTTCAAAAGTAGATCACCAAGCCTTTCTTCTGCAATGCCTCTGGCAGACTTGAACTTCCAAACTTTTGATTAATGGCCAAGCACATGAACCTTTTTCAACCACCCAGGGACTCCACCAGAGTCCTAGGGAAACTTACTATATAAATGTTCTTGATTCAAGAAAGAACATTAAATGTAATGGCAGAACCCTGTATATTACCAATATATATGATGATGAAGCTTATTTAATAAAAAGCAATGCAAAATGTCCTTATAATATCCAACAAAATGGCTATTTCTTTTCTGATATATGCAAAATCCATTTTGAGGAAGGTCTTTTTTCTATATAGCAAGACTGTTAGGGAGTGGTTTTTTTTTTTTTTTCCCCCAACCACCCAGCTGCTGCAATGTTAAATAAATTAATTTAAATCTTAAATCAGAGATGTAATAGAGAAAAAAGGTGATTTAATATGCAATCTCATTACATTTGACAGGCTTATTTATAAATGATTTGCCCTACACTTTAACAAGCATAGTTAATATGTTAATTAACTTTAAAAAGACAGTGGAAGGAAGACACTATCATTCTCTTTATCGTGTTCGGGGACACTGTAGCACACGATAGCACTACTACATATTTTGGCCCCCAAAAAGCACTGTGACCTTGATGAGATAATTACATATATTTCCTAGTTACAGATAACTTTGTCACTCTATGTGGAAAATCAATCCCTAAAAATAATTTCAAACCACCTTCTGCTTTAGCAAGAAAACACACTTCTGAATGTATTTATAAGCATCTGTAAAAGAATAAGGGGCCTTAGTGGCACAATGTTGGATTGCTCTACTGCTAACCCAAAGGTCAGTTGTTCAAACCCACCAGCCACTTTGTGAGAGAAGACCTGGTGACCTGCTCTTGTAAAAATTACAGCCTAGAAAGCCCTACACAGCAGTCTTACTCTGTCATATGATGTCACTATGAGTTGAATTCAACTCGACATCCCGTAACAATAACATAAACGATGATAAATCTCCCTGCCAAGAGAGGAACTACACAGATAAGCTGCTTTTGGCATCTGCACTTCCTTTAACATGGTTTTCAGTACTTTGTGTGTCTTTTTAAAGAAGCTTAAAGATGATTTCCTTTGCCTTGGCTTTCAAAGACTTATAAAATCCAAGAATTAAGAAAAGTTACATAAGAGGCACAGTGCAATTTGATTCTCCTGCTTAAATCCTCCCTTAAGGAGGGAGACAAAGGTATCAAACAATATCTTTCTTGATGAATTCTCACATCATATTGTATTCACACACTACCACAATGTTGGAGACCTAGAGCAGTAAATCATAACATGCCGAGCTCTGATTGCCATCACTCGATGACAATGCTAATCTCTATGTGTCTTCATTAATATTTTTATTGCTTGTGGCTATTTAAACAGAACACTAGAAAATGTAACACTGGGTAGGGATCGTTAGTTTTTAGTTACCACCCTACTTCCCCACAATGGTAAATGAACTGTAAAAATAGCCTGAAACTACTGCCACCTGCCTCCTTATTATTGTCCATGGCTTAGTATTTGCACTTCTCCTTGGTGCAGCTGAGCCATGACTCAATTACAGTCCCATTTCTAGGTCTCTGAATACTCAGCATCGCTGCCATCAATTACACAAAAGTCAGCGCCCTGTGAACATCTCTGGAACCAGAAAGATACATATGTTTTACCTGACTCACGGGATAATGACAAAATGGCTTTTAGAAAATGGCTTGGAATGAAATCAAATTCAGAATGACAGGCATACCACAGATATAACTTAGACTTTAGGGTTTGTAAGTAAAGAGCCAATAAGCATGGGAATCAGCTTACATACAACACGTTTACTATCTGTTTTTGGCAATAAATAATCTTAGCATGTAGACGAAAGGGCATTTGGGGTCTACTATTTTCTCTCAGTTTTCCTCCCTTCCATTTAAATAACAGTCATCTTCTCATGCTTCCATTATGCTCTTGTTCAAAGCAAAGTGGTAGAAAGAGCTCAAGCCTTCTTCCTTAAGAGGAAACACACACAGACATACACGGAAGTAAAAAGAAGGTGGGGGAGAAGAGGATTGGAAATCAAATACTACACATCAGAATCAGACACATTAGCAAGTCATAGTCCATGTGGTTCTTTGCATTTTAAAAAGCACTTCTAAAGGGTTGGAAAATATTAGTCACTAGTATATAAAAAACAGCTTCTCCTGATTAGTGAGGGTATAGTCTTACTGAACCACCAAGCATTGAGACAAAACTGGCTCCAAGCCACAAATGTTTCCAAACTATGCTCTATTAGCAGAGTCCTTAAAAGACCTCATTGAAAGGCAACCTAGAATTTCCATTTCAAAAAATAGACAAAAGCAGCCATAACTCAAAATTATTAAGTAATGATTATTTCCAAAGCCATTTCTCAACTATAAGGCAGGATAGTGGAAGAGACTGAGAAAGGCAGTCACTGATATTCTGATGCATTCACTGGCCTTTACCTTCAACCTTTTTTCCCACTAAAATTAATGGTCTAAGTTTCTATTTTGTCCATGCCCTTGCATAGCCTTTGGGGGAAAAAAAAAATCTAACTATGTAATCAATTGTCCAAAAGAAAGCCAGGAAATATGACGAAACATAGATTAGCTCAGCCCTGCAATGACAGACTGACATCTTTATTCTCAGTGTTTTAGAATATGGCTCAAAATGATATTAGAGTTATAATAAGGCAATACAAAATGTATGACAATAGATTTTAGCCTGTTTGAGAACCTGGACCCGTTTATAGCTCTATGAAAGCTATGGATCTATATTCAATAAAAGTAAATAGATCCACATGTACACAAAATGCTGCATATATTTTCAGTAGCTTTTCAGATCCAGAAATCCCATGCCTAGGGAGGTGCTGGAACCTAAATTAAGAAAACCTACACTGTGCCCTACTTTGTCAGTAACTTCATTGCTTTCTCACCATAAAATATCTGGATCAAAAACATCAGGGAAGGAGCCAGGCCCTGTCATAACCTAATTTACTAAAAGCCAAGATTATAGAGGGCGGAATAGAGAGGTAAGTACACAGCAGTAAGGCAACTAACATGCTGTAGTTTTATTGGGGTCATAAACTTTATTTGAACACTAAGTTGAAATCTGCATACAAGGGCATAATCATTCATGGAAGATGATTCCTATAATAAAACAGTGATGTGCTGTGTGAACTGTTTACTTTCAACACAATTTTGAGTCTAGAAAGGGATTTTTCTGTCAATAAAAGACACTGTCTACCATTACTGGTAATCCTTCACTGAGGGTTAAAAATACAATATATTCTTAACTGATTATTTAATGTATAGTAAATTATCAAATTTAAAAATTATATTAATCGATTTGGAATTCAGCATCATTTACCATTAATAATAATGACATATTAAACCTTGCCAGTATTTAGGCCTCATCACACAGATTTTTAAGCTTTGCTAAACTATCATATAATACTACGTGAATTATGTAAGACTACTCTGAAATGAAACATGATAGTTTAAAAAATGATTGTTTTACTTTGTTTTGGATAATTGGTATCAAAAGGTTTGAAAAGTACATTTAGACCTAATCTAGTACTTAACCGTTACAGCAAAATTTTCAGACCACTTTATTTGAGCTTTGCTGTGAATTTAACATGTTCCCTGCTACTTCCAATCCATAATGCTGTTTGGAGATACATAGATCTTTGTTGTGATATAAAGCAGTAAATTTTTAAAACCCTGAATGAGAAAATATACTGCCCTGATAGAAAAAAAAAAAAAAAAAAAAAAGTCTCTGGCCCTATCTATCAAGAATCATTACCAGACATCATCTGCAAGGGAGACTCTGAGTAGAGAACATTCCCAATTATGTTTTCAAAAAATCCATAGTATTGCCACACACATGCAAACACTCCTGCACCATTAATCTTCATTCAAGCTGTTAGGATGTTTGTCTAGACTTGACCCAGACTAAGCACTACAGATAAATTAGCCACAGTAAAGCTTCCATTTCTTACCACATGTCAAGGCAGGTGGAATATTCTGTCGAGCCCAGAAGGACATCTGGAGGTCTGTACCACAAAGTAACCACTTCATTGGAGTACGTGTGGCTAGGGACAGATTTTGCCCTTGCAAGTCCTGTGGGTTATATGAAACATAAAGAAGTTTAATAGGTATTAATTGAACAAGGAAATTTAGATTTGAATGTTCACAATTTTAAAAAGTCAGACACGATACAGTAATACAGAGGCCTCAATGCAATATCAAGCTTCAATATGGTTTATCTGTTTCAAATACATGCTAATAGCCAATAAATCATTTCTAATTTGTAATAAAGCACTAGTCATGAATCTAATATCATACAAATAGAATGAACAATTAGCTCATAAATTACTAGACATTACAAGAAAGCTTAGCAATCTCTCAGATTTTTCAAGATACAGACACTCTAGTGGCACAGTGGTTAAATTGCTCATCTGCCAACCAAAAAGTCCACAGTTCCAGCCCAGCAGCTGTTCTGTGAGAGAAAGATATAGCAGTCTGCTTCTGTAAAGATTTACAGCCTTGTAAACCCTGTGGGGCAATTCTACTCTGTCTCATAGGCTTGCTATGAGTAGGAATCAATTCCATAACAGGGGATTTGGTTTTGGTTTGGTTGCAAGATATGCCACACAGAACTCGAGGTCTGAGAGGTGTTATAAGAAAGAGTTCCGAGCCAAACAGATTTGAGATAAGATGGATTTAAAAAGATGGACTTTTGAAAAACTCTCCATACTAGGAGACTGCTCAGGGTCCTTCCTTCATTTTTCTAATTTATACTGAAAATCTCCTAGAAGAGAGTCTGATACTTTTCTCAAAGGTTTGTCTCAAAGCTTTTTGTGGTTCCAGTATTCCTCCAAACACTTGCAAGGAAATGTTCACCTGGGAAGCTCATGTGAATTCCACAAATATAAACAATTATAAAGGTGTAGTTCAATGAATCTCATACATAAAACTGATGAAACAGTGTATTACAAATTAAAATATTCTTTAAGAAATTTTTTAAATTGTGGGAAATGGTCACAATAATGTGAGAAAGTAAGTACATAAGTACTAAAGGTACATAAGTAATATAGGTGAGAAAGTTTGATCTCATAGCCACAGAAAAAAACATTAGCAGACGAAACAGTATTTTTCAGTGCCTTCAGTGCTTAGCTCTGGAATATGGGATTATACATCTTTTTTATTTACTAAATTTTCCTAAGTTTTTTTTAACTTTTGTACAACAAATATATATTTCTTTTAAAAATCACAAAATCTGTAGTTTTTTTTTTAAAGAAAAAAAAAACCTCTGTGATGTCTTTCTGAGTATATTCAGTAAGGACAAATGTAATGTCTTATTTATTACTGTAATCCTCAAAGTACACATACAGTTTTTACAGTAAGCCTCTCATGATTACATATCACTTAAATGTTATAATTTAAATTTTATGTAATATCTAGCAATATGACTTTTTTATGTATATTAAATACTTGGCTTTCCACCCTCTGTGTTATATGTAAATTTTAAAATTAATAAGACAGCTGGTGAGACAAAGAATTTCTCATTAATTCTAATTAATTCAACTACTGTTACAGTTACTCAATTTTTTCCTACAATGCAGTTTTTATAATATTGCAATGAAATACTATATATTGGTTAACATTTATAAGTATTAAAATGTACAAATTACAGACACACAAAATATATATTCCCCAGTTTTTCTGCACATGAACAGATACATTTTTGATAATGAATTTTCATAATAACTAATACTTTTCTCTGCAACATTTATTCTACCTCAATTCAGGCAAAAATGAACAACAGAGAGGACAATTAGAATAGCTGAGTGTCTTTAGATTTGGTAATCCCTTCAAAGAGTATGGTTCCTCAAATGATCATGGTTCCACAGAGGGACCAAAGCGCTAAGCTCAAGTCCTGACATAGGTTCTGACTCATTCCACATGCAATTGTCAAGTCAAATGGGGCACAAAGAAACATTTAGGCTGATTCCTTTGGTTTTCCTGAGGCTGTGTTGTCAGAAAGCTAGTCTAGAGGGTAAGAAGACTGGAAAATCTGAGATTTTGTTTGACAGCTCAGATGAACAGGCTAGTTATAGAAATTGTGATATTCTCAGTTTTAAAGGGAGAACAAGAACTCAAAATAACCTAGAAATAGTATAAATAAAATTATATACATGTGTCATTTTAGGTCCATTATATTCACTGACTAAACCGTGGTGGCATAGTGGTTAAGCACTCAGTTGTTAACTGAAACTCAATGGTTTGAATCCACAAAGACCTGAGCTTCCATAAAGATTTATAGCTAAGAAACCCTATGGGGCAGTTCTGCCCTGTCCAAAAGTGTTGTTGTGAGCCAGAATTCAACTCTACAGCAATGAGTTTTTTGGTTTTGGTTATGCTTAATCTGAATATGAATTTATTCAACTGATTAAATATTTCTGGAAAATACAAACAGAAAAAGCTATTCAGTTACAAGATTCTCCTCCTCCTCCATGTTTTAAAGACTGCCCAAAATCTGTCTTTAAAAGATGAGGCACACAATTCCCAAAACAACAGTGAAAATGAGTTTCTACTCCATGAGCCAATCCAAGGAGTAAGTGTAGAGAAGGGCTTTTAGATTTCTTCCCCATTCCACAGCCCTAGAAACTGGCCAGGGATTTT